TATATATATATATATGATTATCCGTTAATTTAAATTAATGAAATGAAGTACTAAATGATTTTCAAATTTTTAAAAAATTTGCAAACTTGGTTGTTGAAATTTGATGTAGAACATGAATTATTGAACGGAGTAAGTCTAGCTTTACTCCTGGAGTAAACGGATCTCTCTATATATATATATATATTTTTTTTTAAAGTTATAAGAGATGATCCCAAAAAGAGTGTGGAAATAAAGGAGAAAAAAGTGTGGAGAGAAAGATAAATGATCAGATGCTTCTTCTTTGTTACTTTTTTATATTTTATTTTGACTGCTTATGCTTGGGTCCTTGAATCTTGATTGAGGTTGTGTAATACTTATTTAATTATTTAAACATTTAAGGTTAGAGAAGTTGTGTGTTAGTCCTCTGAATTAATGGTGATGAATTTATGTGTCGCGGCTTCAGATGTAGTTTCAGGTGAATAAAACTTGTGAAGTATAACATTATTATCAATTACATGATGCATTAAAATGGACTCATAATATTGTGTAAAATTGAAACCGATTTGATTATGAAGTTTGCTTTTCTTATTTTAGGGTTGCTGATTGGAATACAGCATTTAATTTTTCTTCTGATTTGGGCTTTGTGTCTTCTTGCATTGTGAAGACTAAAGGTATGAACTCCAACAACCAAAGAGAAATGATACCATTTGTTCATTTTATTTCTTAAAGAGCGTAGAAAAAGAAATGACACAATTTTTCTCTTTTCTCTCTCATTTTCCTTTATTCTGTTTCTCAGTACCCAGTTAAACATGTTCAATGTGATATGATGTAAACAGAATCAAGTCCTTATTAGTAATTTTTAATATACTTTATCTACAAAATTAGAGATAAGATAGAGTAGTTAGTAATTTTAAATATATTAGAGATAAGATAGAGTAGTTAGTAATTTTAAATATATTAGAGATAAGATAGAGTAGTGGGGGATTGGTTATAGTCAGTTGGCTATATAATGTATTTTAATCCTGCTTTAGGGGTACAGTAATTCATTCATAAATTGGTATTCTCATCTTTCTTCTTCAAATATAACATTCGGATTCTTTTCTTCACATAGAGTCCCTATTTTCTATTAGTCCTTCGAATTCTTATTGAATTCCTAGTTCTGGTCATAACATTGGTATCAGAACGATTCATGGCCACAACCCGTAACTAACACAGCATGGCAGACATGGAAGAACGATTGGAGACCAAGCTGTCAGCACAGATTGATAAACAGATAATGCAACTTGCAGGCACGATTCAAGATTCCTTATCTGAAGCATTATCACAGAAGATGGAAGACCTATTCAAGACCCGGTTTGATTCAGGAAGTCACTCACCTTCCGTTAGCAAAAATTCTAATGGTGCCAGAGGCTCAAATCAATATTCTTGTGGGACACGACTTGCAAGAATTGATTTTCCGAGGTTCAACGGTGAAAACATCAATCAATGGATGTACCAATGCGAAAATTGTTTCTTGATTGATGCCACACCTGAGGATGTAAAGGTCTGGTTAGCAATTGTTCACCTTGAAGGCAAAGCTTTACAGTGGCACACGGCAATTTCCAAGAATTTGGCAAATCAACAACCGTCTTGGGAGGAGTATACGAAGATGTTGCAGGACCGATTTGGAGATGTTTGCGATGATCCCATGGCAGAACTTATGAAGTTAAGACAGGAGAAAGGGGTCAGCGAATATCATGAGGCCTTCGATGCAATAATTTCCAGATTAGACTTTACAAAGGAGTACCGGCTAAGTTGCTTTTTGGGAGGACTCAAACACGAAATCCAAATGATGGTACGCATGTTTAGACCTGACAGTGTTCGGAGAGCATTCTCATTGGCAAAGATGTATGAGGCTTCCCAACCCCAGGGACCGGTGGCAATTGCCTCAAAACCCTTCTCTTTGAATTCAAGAAACAACAAGAACGTTATGAATTCAAGACCATTGCTGCCCACATCAACAGACCAAGTCAAGTATAATCAGCCAGAATTCACCTCGAATAAAGCAAAGCCTTACAGAAATCTGACTCCAACCTACATGGCTGATAGGAGATCAAAAGGACTGTGTTACTTCTGTGATGAACCATACTCACAGGCGCATAACCTTACACACAAGAAGCTACAACTACATGTTATTGAAGTGGAAGAAGCATCGATTGACCCACCATTCGAAGAAGAACTGCCTGATTCAGACTCAGCTGACATGGGTGAACCACAAATTTCGGTACATGCCTTGACAGGCATCCCCAACTTCAAAATTATGTGAATTACTGGTTACTACAACAAGAAACCCTTGCATATTCTTATAGACAGTGGCAGTACACACAACTTCCTGGACGTCCACATTGCCAAGAAGTTAGGTTGTCGAATAGACAATTTGGAGCCTATGCATGTTATGGTAGCAGACGGCAGCAAGTTAAATATAGATGGGTGGTCAAAGATTTTAAATGGACAATACAACAAACAATGTTTACATCGGACATGATGTTATTATCGCTGGGATGCTGTGATTTAGTCTTGGGGAATTGAATGGCTTATAACCTTGGTTGACATCACATGCAACTTTGATAAATTAAGTATGCAGTTTTATGCACAAGGCAGAAAGCATGTTTTACGAAGTGCTCAGCTACAAGGAATGAAGACCGTGAGAAGAAAACAGTTCGGAAGAATTCTTAAGAAAGGAGTATCACGGCCAGCTACCTGTGCCTACACCAAAGATACAATACATCCTTGGGGAATTTGAAGATGTCTTCCAAGAACCAACGCAATTGCCACCTGTCAGATCAGACCATGATCATAAAATTCCCCTCGTTCAGGGCAGCAACCCTGTAAACAAAAGACCCTACAGGTATGCGAAACAGCAGAAGGATGTCATAGACAAGCTGGTCAAGGAGTACTTGAATACAGGTATCATTCAAGCTAGCAACAGCCCTTATGCTAGTCCCGTAGTTCTGGTAGGGAAAAAGGATGGAAGCTGGAGACTTTGTGTTGATTATAGGGAACTCAATAAAGCTACTGTTAAGGATAAATTCCCAATTCCCCTTGTGGAAGACCTCTTGGATGAATTGCATGGATCCACCATCTACTCAAAAATAGACCTACGATCAGGTTACAACCAGGTCAGAATGCACCCTATGGACGTCCACAAGACTGCATTTAAAACTCATGGGGGGCACTATGAGTATCTAACCAATGCTCCAGCAACCTTTCAAGGCCTTATGAATTCTGTTTCAAGAGTACCTGAGACAATTTCTCCTAGTTTTCTTTGATGATATATTGATATACAGCAAGAGCATTGAAGATCATATGCAGCACTTACAACTGGTACTCCAAACTATGAGACAGAATAACTTGTTTGCAAGGAAGAGTAAGTGTTATTTTGCTGTCACCAAGGTAGAGTACTCAGGTCATTTTATCAGTGCAGAAGGCGTGTCAACTGATCCTTCAAAAATAGAGGCTGTTAAAAATTGGCCACTTCCGGCAACTCTCAAACAACTCCGAGGGTTCCTTGGTCTAGCAGGCTACTACAGAAGATTTGTAAGAGGTTATCGTGGCATTGCAAAACCACTCACTGAACTATTGAAAAAAGACAACTTCACTTGGACAGTGGAAGCCAAGCAAGCATTTCAAAAATTGAATTCCTAGTTCTGGTCATAACACAATGTGACCCGTGTTTCGTTAGAAAATAGAAAATCTGAATGTGCTCATTCCATTGTTATGAATTTCTCTTCTTTAGCACTCTGTTTCTATTCTAATACCACTTTTCTTATGCTTTGGAATCTGATGATTCTAATGTAAAACAGGAGATATTACGCAACGCGTGTGTTCAGCAGCAGAAATAAAGTTTTACTTGAGTAGCTTATTGGAGAGATCGAGTGACAACTATTTAAAGCCTAACAAGAACTGCAATTTAAACTCATGGGTATCTGGTTGTGAGCCAGGATGGGCCTGTAGTGTTCTCACAAGCCAGCAAGTTGACCTAAGAAATTCACTGGAGATACCTGCCAGAACTACAAACTGTCAAGCATGTTGTGAGGGTTTCTTCTGTCCTCATGGAATCACATGCATGATACGTAAGTGTGACGAGAGACTTCTATATGCTTTTCTTCATTACTGAACTGCAAATATCTTCTGTATGATTATATACAAATTTTTTAATCAGCATTTTCCTGCTTCATAAGAATGTTTATTGTAAAGGAGTAGGTCTTCACAAACAATTTGTTTCTGACAGAATTTAGTGAGAATTTACAAAGATTGAAGTGTGATTATTGGATAAGAAAATGTGGTGGGAAGTGGGAACCACTTATCTATCCAAATGTTAATAACAATGCCAATTCATTCAAGCAAAAAATTCTGACAAAAAGATACTGTCTCTCTATTTCATTGTAAAAGTGGTTTTGAAACTATATCTGATATTATGCTCTTCATTAAAATTAAAAAAAAAATGTCAGTCATTTTCCTTTTCTGCAATGATATCTGTAGAAAAATTAAAACAGTGACATTATATGTAATAACTATACTGATTATCAGTATCTATTATCAGTATCTATGGAAATGATGTCCCTAACACTTTGATCTTTTTGTGGCATTTGAAATATTTTTCTGGAAGCTTGCCCTCTAGGTTCCCATTGCCCTCTTGCTACACTCAATAAAGAAACTGGTGTTTGTGAACCGTGAGTTCTAATTCTTGCTATGTGATCAGTCACTCTGTTAATATATACAGTTATTACTTGCATGTTTTGTGTAGAATATTAATTGACACCTGACAGATACTTCTGCAGATATCTGTATCAACTGCCTCCAATGCAGCCAGATCATACCTGTGGAGGAGCAAATATTTGGGCTGATGTTAGTAGCAGTCGTGAGATATTTTGTGCAGCAGGATCGTATTGCTCCAACCCTACAAAAAGAATTCCTTGCAGTAGTGGGTATTATTTTGTCCCAACCTGTGGTTACTCCTAATAAATTGCAAAAGTTGGATCCTGGATGAAGTAATCCAAAGCATTTAAGATATTAGATATGACATTTCATAGTTGCACTTGAACGCATCATACTTTAATCTAGTCAGCAAAAGCTGATCACTTTATTCACAAGTATAATGCCTGTACTATTATGCTCTTTTAATGGTTATAAAAACAATTATGCTGCCTTTGTGTTCATTACCCTGATTCTTTGAAACTTCTCTCTTGAAATTTCAGGCATTACTGCAGGATGGGTTCTACATCTGAGCAAAGTAAGATCTCATGGATTGTGAATTATGGCAATAACACATGGCACATGTTTCCGGTTACATATGACCATTTACTGTTTGACTTTGTATTGTAGGATGCTTCAAGTTGAGTTCGTGCAACTCAAATACTGTGACCCAAAATATGCATGCATATGGAATCATGCTCATTGTAAGTTGTTACAACTTAATTTGATGGATTATGGAGTAGGCACAATAATTTATATATGTGCATTTTTCAGGATCCTAGATTTCTATTGTTATTTGGGTGATTTCTTTTTTATATATGAATTGGGGCTTATTAAGGGATTTTAGTAATGAGTAATGTTACATGTATAACAAAAACTGTACAATAATTTGTACCGTATTACTTTTGTGTTTATTTTTCTCCATCATTGATAAATATCTCTCTCAATAATAAATGAAATGATGGAAAGAGATAAATCAGAAGTGATGTATGATTTTAGTTGTACATGTAGCATTACTCTAGTAATTTAGTGTTAAAAATGTCGACATTGACTATGAATATATGGCCAGAATGGTCTTTATGAGATTTGGGTGATCATTCACCCTTAGAGCTAGCTTTTGAGAGTAAGTTGGGCGCAGTCTGCTTCTAATATGGAATCGCTGAATCAGAGCCTATCTAGTCTGTCTCCCTTGAGCTAACTATTAGGAGTAAGTTAGGCCCAATCTGTTTTTAATATTTAAAATTGCTTAATGACCAATCTGGGACTGCCTACATAAGGATGGCTATGTACTGAGTTTTAGAGACTCTACCTGAAATGTAATATTGAAAATTTTCCTGCACTTCAACTTCTCCATCTGTAACTACTTCCCTGTTTGCTATTTCTATTCCTTTTAAATTCTTATTTCCTTCATTTTGTCCCATACCCATTGGATCATTTAGACCATTGCCTTATATTTTCCATTTGTTATTGAGGAACCAGTACCAACAATTTGTGACTAAAGAAGCCATATGGAAACATACCCAGAAAAGAATTTCTGATATTTTATGCTTCCTGCCTTTTGTTCCTTTTCCATCACAAGCACAGATGATATTGGAATTATGGCTAATGCTTAATTGCTTGTCCCATACAGAAGTGAAAACATACAAGTTCACACATTCAGACCATCTTAGTAGAAGTTAACAACAGTTCTTAACTGCTTATGCAGGCTGCTTTGAGTACTTTGCTACTCATTATCTACAGCTGTTCCGACCAAGTTCTCACTACCAGGGAAAGGAGAATGGCTAAGTCGAGAGAAGCAGCAGCCATAAGTGTAAGGAAGACTGCAAATGCACGCCAAAGATGGAAAAAGGCAAAAGATCTAGCTAAGAAGGGTTCAAGTGGACTGCAAGCTCAACTATCACGAACATTTTCTAGGAAAAAGGACTTTGTAGACATCGAAGAAATTAAAATTTGGAATCAACTATCTACTGAAACAGATATTGAATTGGTTTCAAATTCACATCCGATTACCACAACCATGGTCAGTAGTTCATCTGCAGTGTCAAAGGAAAAGGGAAAAGAACCCAGTGATATGATGCAGATGATGCATACAGAAAATGATCCAAATATTAGGAAAAATGTTCATGTAGAAATAGAAACTAGAGATAAAAATGTTACAGCAAGTGTGTCTAAGGAAAAGCAACCGCATACACATACCCAAATTTTTAAGTATGCATATGCTCAACTTGAGAAAGAAAAGGCTCAGCAAGAAGAAAACAGGTACCTTACCTTATCAGGAGTAATTAGTATGGCTACCAAAAGTGAACAAAGGAAAAGGCCTTTAATTGAAATATCTTTCAAAGATCTAACTCTCTCTTTGAAAGCACACAATAAACATATATTGAGATGTGTTACAGGGAAAATTAAACCTGGCCGCATCACTGCTGTTATGGGTCCATCAGGTGCTGGCAAGACAACTTTTCTTTCAGCAATAGCTGGGAAGGCATTTGGGTGCAAGGTGACTGGTTCCATTTTTATAAATGGAAAGAATGAATCGATCCACTCCTATAAGAAAATTATTGGCTTTGTGCCACAGGATGATATAGTTCATGGAAACCTGACTGTGGAAGAAAACTTTCGGTTTAGTGCACTGTGCAGGTAAATAACACGGTTGGAAATTCCAACTGCTGTATATTGTAATTCTTTTATTCTTTTATTTTTTTTCAAGTTTATGCTGTTAAATTTGGTGGCCTAGATGTATCTTTTCTTCTTCTTTCCTATTTAATCAAGGATCAAATTTTAGTTCCAATTATACTCTTTCACTGACTTGCTTTCTGATCACTTCACTTTAAGTGGAATTGCTGGTATATGTTGGGAAAGATACCAAATATAATCATTTTATACAAGGCTAGTAGATAATTAATAATCCTAGGATCAAATTTTCCCCACACTTTGCATAATCACAATGAGACAATATAATGAATAACTTTCATTATAATTAATGAGAATACAACAATAACAATACTACTAATAATAATAATCTCACAAAAATTGTGGCTAAACACTCCATATTTCACTCAAAAGGATTCTCTCATGTAGAAGTGAGGTTAAAATTCTTTCACAAACTCTTTACGTTTTTGTTTTTCAAAAATGATGATATGTAAACAACGTAAAACATACGCTTTTATAACAAAACTTGATAACTATACAAGAAGCCTAAAGTGAAGGAGAGTTTTTCTCCTTTTCCTTTCCATTGATTTTCTATAAAATCTCTTTTTCTCTCTTTTCTTATTTTTATTTAGTATTATTTTGATTTATCTCTCCTTCTTTTTCTCTCCTTTTAAAGAGGAAAACCCATCAATCTCCCCCTTTTGATTTAGGTGGAAGGCTCTAGCAGTCCAGAAACTATTTTGTAGAACTCGTACTTATCCTTAGGTAAGGACTTGGTCATCATATATGAGCTATTGTGATCAGTATGGATTTTCTCAAGCTTTAATTGCTTTGTTTCTAGTATATCATGTATCTAATGTCACATCGATCTGCTTTGACCTTGAGTACAAACTCGAATTCTAGCTCATGTTGATTGCTCTCTGACTATTGCAATGCATGATGTATTTCTTTTGTTTATGTCCTAACTCATGCAAGAAAGGCTTTATCCATAGCATATCTTTGCAGGCTTCTATTATTGCAATGAACTTTGCCTCTGTGGGAGACGAAGCAACACACTTTTGTAACTTTGATTGCCACGATACCACTCCCTTTGAAAATGTAATCAAGAATCTAGAAGTAGATTTCCTAGAATCAATATTCCCACCATATCTACATTTGTGTAGCCAATAAATTCAAGTCTTCTATTTCCAAAGCATAAATTCATTTTGGAAGTTCCTCTGAGATATCTTAAAATTGACTTCATAGCATTCTAGTGCTCTCTTCTTGGATTAGCCAGATATCTACTAACAACACCAATTGCATGTGTTATATCTGGTTTTGAACACATCATTGCATGCATTAAGCTTCCAAAAGCTGAGGCATATGACACCTTGCGCATCTCCTCCTTTTCAATTTCACTTGTAGGACTTTGCTTTGAGCTTAACATAAAATGACTAGCATGTGGAGTAGTAACAGGCTTTTCTTTCTCCATGTGAAACTGCTCTAATAACTTCATGATATATTTTTCTTATCATAACTACAACTTTTGTTCCTCCCAATCACAACAGATAGACATACCAAGAATATGCTTCGCGGGTCCCAAGTCTTTCATAGCAAGACTTCTTCATATCCTTCTTCAGCTTGCTGATCTTCTCACTATTTTGTCCTATGATTAACATATCACCAACATACAAAATTAGTATGATGAACTCACCATCAATAAATCTCTTCACGAATACACAATGATCAGAAGTTGTCCTTCGGTATCCATGTTCAATCATGAAGGAATCAAACTTCTTGTACCATTGACATGGAACCTGCTTAAGTTCATATAAATTCTTCTTTAGCTGACATAATAAATCTTCTTTGCCTTTGACTTTGAATCCCTCTGGCTGCTCCATGTAAATTTTTTCTTCTAAATTTCCATGAAGAAATGCAGTTTCACATCTAGTTAATGACATTTTTACCACTGGTGAAAAAATCTTTTCAAAGTCAATACCTTTTTCTAACTGAAGCCTTTCATGACTAACCTCGCCTTATACCTGAGTTGTGAGCTATTCTACTCAATCTTCAATTTGTACACCCATTTGTTTTTAAGTTTTTTTTTAACTTTCGGTAACTCTATCAACTCATAAGTTTGGTTTTCATGCAAGGATTGCATTTCTTCTTGAATGGCTTTTAACCACTCTCCCTTGTGGTCATCCAACATAACTTCTTCACAAGACTTTGGTTCTCCCCCATTAGTGAGTAGCACATATTCTGTTGTAGGATATTTGGTTTGTGGTTTAAGCATCTTGATTGACCTTCTTAACTGGGGCTCTTGAATACCTTGTTCTTCTTCCTCATAGTCTTTAGTCATATCATCATTGGTACCACCATTCTTGTTACCATCATCTATTTCTTCATTTGGATTGTTATCACTTGGTGATTCATTTTCTATATCCCCAACATCTTCTATTGCATCTCCCCCGAAATGCTTTATAAGAGGAACTGGACCTAAGTTGATTGGATGTTCTCTAGAACTAATAGGTTTAACACCCTTCTGAATATCTTCAATATTCTAGTCTTCAAAGAAAACAACATCTCTACTTTTAATAATTTTTTATCAACAGGATCCCAAAGCCGGTACCCAAATTCTTCATTTCTGTATCCCAAGAAGATGCATTCATTTGACTTGAAGTGGAGTTTTGATCTCTCATCTTTTGGAACATGAAAAAATGCTCTACAACTAAACACCTTTAAATGGTTGTAAGTTAGATCTTTACTTGTCCGAAACTTGTTTGAAACATCACCATTCAATGGAGCTGAAAGGGATAAGTTGATCAAATCAATTACAGTCATTAGAGCCTCACCTCAAAAACTCTTGGATAACTTGGCATGAGATAACAACGTTCTTACTTTTTCAACAATAGTTCTATTCATCCTCTCAGTCACTCCATTGTGTTGAGGTGTCTTCGGAACAGATAGTTCATGTCAGATTCCACTACTCATATAGTAATTGCTAAAAGTTCCCATAAATTCTTCATTGTTATCAGTGTGAACACACTTTAACTTAATTCCAATTTATCGCCCAACACTAGCATGAAACTATTTGAATAGTAATAGTACAAACACTTAATCTTTTGTTTTGAGGGCATATGCTCAAACCTTCCCAGAGTGGTCATCAATAAAGGTAACAAAATACCTTGCAACTCCATGATTGCTAGTGGTCATTGGACCACAAACATCAGAATGCACCAAATCTAAAATATTTGGTCATCTATGTGGGGCCTTGTAGCAAAATGAAGCTCTATGTTGTTTTCCAGCCAAACAATGTGTACATGGCTTAAGTGATGTTTTTGATCCTTTCACACATGTCAGTGTATCTTTTTTAGCTAGAATTTGAAGCCCCTTCTCACTCTTATTTACGAGCCGTTTATGCCATAGCTTGATCGAGGAGTCTTCTTCGAAGCATTAATGCAACTAGTACTGACTTTGGCTTTTATCACATAAAGAGTGCATGCTTTCTTGCCTCGGGCTATCACTAGGTAACTTTTTGTTAGCTTCCATTTTCTATCCCTAAATACACCAGTATAGCCTTCTTCATCTAGTAGGTCTGTAGATTTTAGATTGACACATGTTAGGAACATGTATCACATCTTTCAATATTAAGCGACAATCAATGTTTGTTTCTAGGCAAACATCTCCTTTATCCACAATCTTGGATCTATTATCATTCCCCATCCTCACATGACCAAAATCAGTGTCTGTATAAGAAGAAAAGAAATTCCTTTGTGAGGTTACATGAAATGATGCACTAGAATCCACGATCCAACATGTATCTTGTGATGTCAAATTAACAAGACCATCACCGCAAACAAGATTACCTCATTACCTCACCATTTCCTTGCTGCTCTCTTTTGAGCTTCTTGCATTCTCTTTTCATGTTGCCTTTCTTGTAACAATAGTAACATTCTACATCTCTTCTTGTCCTCGACCTTCCTTTGAACTTATCTCTTGACTTGTCTATAGTGTTGAAATTTTTGTGGATGCTTCTTCCACGATACTTTGTGATAGGCGCCTTAGACTCTACTGGCATTCCTTGTTCCTTTCTTCTTGATTCTTCATTGAACATTATATCTTTTACTTTGTCTAATGTTAGAAAACCTTGTGACGCCAAGTTACTCAATGAAACCACATGTGTATCCCAATTGTCTGACAAAGAACTAAGTAGTAACAATGCTTGCAATTCATCATCAAGCACCATCTTCATATTGGTGAGTTGATTAACCATTCCTTGAAAATCACTCAAGTGTTCGGAAACACTTTAGGCCTCTCTATACTTGAGGTTCACCAATCACTAAATAGTAGAGGCTTTATTTTGGATCGTCTTTCTCTCGTACAATGTTTCTAGTTTCGTCCATAACGTGAACACAAATGTTTCTTATGCAACGTGATGAAAGAAACTTTGATCTATCCATTGCCGAATTTGTGCAATGGTTTTCCTGTTCACCAAATTCCAGTCATCATTAGACTTGGTGACTGGCTTCGTCCCTTTATTTTGCAAAGGCTAGTACAAATGGAGTAGTTTAAGAGGTTAACTTAATTATTGTTGCTGATGACGTCGAGGTTTACTCGTCCATTGTGAATAACACAAGTTAAACTGCGTAATAAACTAAGGCTCTAGATACCACTTGTTGGGAAAGATACCAAATATAATCACCTTATACAAGGCTAGCGGATAATTAATAATAACAAGATCAAACTTTTCCCATTCTTTGTGTAATCACAATGAGACAATATAATGAATAACTTTCATTATAATTAATAAGAATACAATAATAACAATAATAATAATAATCTCACAAAAGTTGTGGCTAAACATTCTTTCATATTTCACTCAAGGGTTCTCTCTCACGTAGAAGTGAGATTAAATTTCTCTCACAAACGCTCTACGTTTTTGTTTCTCAAAAACGATGATATGTAAATAACGTAAAACATACGCTTTTATAACAAAATTTGATAACTATAAGAGAGGCTTAAAGTGAATGAGAGTTTTTCTCCTTTTCCTTTCCATTGAGTTTCTATAAAATCTCTTGTTCTCTCTTTTCTTATTTTTATGATTTATCTCTCCTTCTTCTTCTCTCCCACTAAAGAGGAAAACCCATTAGTATAAAGTATAAACATAAGAGACAGAAACAGTTTATATAGAAATGCTGAGAAAATGTGTGTATTACCACCATACATGTAATCCTCTATTTATAATGAATAAGGATACAAAATAAGGAAATGTAGAAACAAAAGAACAAGTAATAATTAGTAGAATCCCTAATTTTCGCTATGCAAGTTTCCTATTACAAAGGAATCATATGAAATCAATTCTATCTTAAATTCTTAATGATTCATTATATTAGGTGGAAAAATGGAGAAATTAAAGAGTACTATTGAATAGGGGAAAAATATGGGGTTTCTTGGTAACCATTTGCCAACCTTTCTCAAAGCATAGGTGGCACTATGATTATAATTTATTTGAGCATATATTGTGTAAATGAAATGCTTAAGTTCTTTCATTAAATAGCCTTTTAAGTTTTCTATTCATATCTATATTTAGATAGTCTAGCAAGAATCAGCACTTTTAAACTTGTCATCTTAGATGCTTGCATACATATTATTGTTTGTGGTATCTTTTGTTAATTAGAGTATTTGGTAATAAATTTAATTTTTCTTAATTCTTATTGTGAAAGGCTACCTGCTGACTTGCCAAAACCAGACAAAGTTCTGATTGTTGAAAGAGTTATTGAATTCTTGGGACTTCATCCTGTACGGAATTCTTTGGTTGGAACTGTAGAAAAGCGAGGGATCTCTGGAGGCCAAAGAAAGCGTGTAAATGTTGGATTGGAAATGGTCATAGAACCTTCACTCATGATCTTGGATGAACCCACATCAGGGTTGGACAGTGCATCATCTCAACTCCTTCTTAGAGCACTAAGACGTGAAGCTCTTGAAGGAGTGAACATTTGCATGGTGGTTCACCAACCCAGGTGACTTTTAATTCCACGTCTTCTGCATCATGGGGATACAGCTATATTATGATTATATTATTTTTCAGTTGATTTTATATTTTCTAATATGAAAGCAGGGAATAATTTTCAGCAGATAGTAGCTGCACATTAAAAATACTATGCCTTTTTATTCTTAACATGTTTCCTGAGGAAATAAATTTCATTCAACTGATCTAATCATCACTTTGGTTCAGAAAGTTGAGAGCCAGGATAGCCCAAAAAATCAAAACAATATTTAAGGGTTTATAATTTGGGTTTATAAAGTGGGGAAATTCAGGACTTATTATCAGAATATTTGGTTTTGTCTGAAAGCAATAGGATGATGATGGTCAAAGACCAACTTGGCTGCTGGAAGGATTTTGGATAATATGAGGGCTTAGGCTAGATCTAAACAATGTCTGTTAAAATATTCTAGGAAAGAAAATCAGGAAAATTGGAGAGTGTAGAGAGGAAATTGTAGGGGACTCAGATAATATAAATGAAAAATGGAGGGAACAAAGAGAGAGGATAAGAACTAAGAAACACCATGGGAATTGGTGTGTTGTGTGGTATAATTAGGAGATATTGGTATTTTATTTTATTTTTTTATTTCAATACATGAAGATAAACACTTGCAGCAGCGAGAGATGTGACACATTGTAGGAATCTTTCATGTAGGTGAGAATTGAATGCTTGTTTTGTCTTTGTGTTCTCTTTTCACTTTGAATGTTCTATATGTGAACACACTACTAGACACCACTGATATTAGGCCAGGAGAGGAGATACATACCTTTGTTTTTGTTCTTTTTGTGTGATTCTGATCCAGTTTCTGTTACATATCTCTGCATCTCTGCATGGGCATTATTATAGAGAAACCATTATGATGACTAATCTCATATTCCGTGCTTCAATTTGGGCTTATGAACAATATGATTGCTTTTCCTTTGATTAATTAATGATTTAACCTTTTGCTGTAGCTATGCTTTGTTTAAGATGTTTGATGACTTGATACTCCTGGCAAAAGGTGGTCTTACTGTATATCATGGATCAGTCAAGAAAGTTGAAGAGTACTTTGCAGACCTTGGTATAAATATCCCAAAGCACATAAATCCTCCAGATTACTTTATTGACATTTTGGAGGGCATAGAAGTACCTAGTGGAAGTTCAGGAGTCAGTTATAAAGAGCTTCCGATTAGATGGATGCTTCATAATGGATACCCTGTACCTCTTGATATGCGGCAGAATGCACCTCAATTTGATACATATGTAGCTGCAAACCCAGCTAAAGAAACAGATCTTGATGGATCTGGCCATGAAGAAAGAAGCTTTGTTGGAGAATTATGGCACGATGCAAGAAATGATATGGAACTTAGGAGGGAGAAAATAAGAGTCAATTTTTTAAAATCAAAGGATTTATCTGACCGTAAAACACCTGGTATATTCAAGCAATACAAGTACTTCCTTATACGGTAAACCATCTAGTCACTTCAATTATTTGTTAACTTGAGTGTTTAAGTTTTCAGACGACTCATTAAGATCTTCACATATCTTGCTGAAAATATTTTCTCTTTTAAAAAAATGTAGCATGGATAGTGGCAGTGGATTTTGTTAATGCTGGAGATTGGACTATATTATTTGAATTTTCATTGTTCAAGAAATAAACTAAGAGAGAGAGAATAACATCTGATCTTATTACTGAATATTGGGAAAAACCCAAGTCCCACATCGACTAGAGATTAGGCAATTGAATAGTATATAAGTGGAAAGCAACCCTCACCTTACAAGCCGGTTTTGTAGGGTTGAGTTAGGCTTAATCCACTATATAGGCATGAGGGGGTGTATTGGGAAAAACCCAAGTCCCGCCAATCCTAGATCATTAAAAAGGGCTACCCACCATTTATCCACGTACCAAGTCCAATAGTGCTGGACGTGAGGGGTGTATTGGGAAAAATCCAACTCCCACATCGACTAGAGATTAGGTAATTGAATAGTATATAAGTGGAAAGCAACTCTCACCTTACAAGCCGGTTTTGTAGGGTTGAGTTAGGCTTAATCCACTATTCTAACACTGAACATAGCAGGCAATACAAAAGGTACACTCCTCTGTACATAAACCCTATTTATAGTAGAGGAGTGAGTCCAATAGAGTTTGTTATAACTGATATGTAGTCAGTTATAATGAGAAACAGAAGGCTAGAACCAAAAGCAAAAATACAAATAAAACAGAGAAACCGTAGTCTCTTAGAATAGCTAACATAAAAACAAGTGAGTAAAATTTGAGAAATAGTATTCTCTTTCACACCCGCAAGCTCAATGGGGGTGAGTTGAAGAAAACTGAAGCTCAGAGACATTAAGCAAGGTCGGTAGCTGTAGAAACTTAGCTGAGGCTAATGGTTTGGGAGAATATCTGCCCACTGGTCTTCAGCAGAAACATGAACAACAGAAAGCTATTTGGCAACTTTTTTGCAAACGAAGAGGACAGGTAGTTTCTTTAGCAAGGTCTGAACCCAAAGAATTTCAGATGTAGCTTGAGTTAGACTGCGGTATTCTACTACAGCTGTGCTGCTAGCAGCTACAGTTTGCTTATAAGACCATCAGGAGATGATGTTGGGTCCAAGATAAACACTTGCACCTCAAGTGGATATTATGTCTGGATCAGACACCCAATCAACTTCACAAAAGCATGAAGAGACAAAGTTTTTACTGGTTTTGTTGAGTGAAAGGACAGGCCAAAATTAATTGTACCTTTTAAATAGAGAATAATTTGCTTAACAGCTACCCAATGACTGTTAAGAGGACAAGTCATATACTAACAAACCTTATTGACAACACAACTTAACTCCAGTCTAATAATGGTGATGTACTGGAGAGCTCTAATCACAGAATGATAAAAAGTGGGGTATGGAGCAAAGTTAGTGACTTCTTTGAAGAGTTTACTGTTGCTGATCCTGGGCATGGAGATGGGTTTTGATTCTAGCAAGGAAGCCTTGTTGAGAAAATCATGAATGTACTTGCTCTTGGAAAGAAAAAGTGTATCATTATTTTTTTTCGGACTTCAATACCCAGAAAGTAATTCGGCTGGCAAAAATCTTCTAGAGCAAAGTTTAAATTTAACTGATGAGTGAGCTATTTTAAAAGAGAGGAAGAGTTGTTTGTGATGATAATATCATCAATGTAAACAAGTAAATAAACCACTTGAGAATTTACTGAGTAGACAAATAAGGAGGGGTCACGTTTAGTGGAAACAAAACCAAGCTGATGCAGGGTGGTCCTCAATCTATCAAACCAGGCTTGGGGAGCCTGTTTGAGACCGTAAATTGCTTTGTTAAGCTTGCAAACTAGGGATTTGTCTTTAACTTCAAACCCAGGTGGTTATGTCATGAAGATTTCCTCTTCCAGGAGCCCATGCAAGAAGGCATTGTTGACATCCAATTGCTGTAAACACCAATCGTGAGTCAATGCCAATGTAAGAATGACTCGTACAGTGACTGGTTTGATTACAGGGGAGAATGTCTCTGTAAAATCAAACCCATATTATTGGTTGAACCCCTTGGCAACTAGCCTCACCTTGTATTTGTTTAGAGAACCATCAACATTCTCTTTCACACAAAAAACCCATTTGCAGCAAATGGGTGTTCTACCATGTGGAAGAGTTATTAGAGACCATCTATCATTTTGTTGAAGGGCATTGAACTCATCTTGCATGGTGCAACCCAATTTGAGTTTTGAAGGGATTGTTTCACTGTTTTTGGTTCAAAATGAGTGAGTATGAGTGATGGATGGATGTGGTGCATAACAACACCAGAATTGGATTTGGTTTGCATGGGATGCACATTGAGATGTTGAGGAATTGGACTTGATGAATGATCATTGCTGGTGGGTGCCATGGGAGAAACATTTGGTGGAGAGTTAGATGGTTGACTTGGGGTTTGGGAATTATTTGGTGATGATGTAATAATAGAACTATTCGTTGGAGGAAAGGTGGATAAAGGAACAACATATTATGGTGTAACAAGGGGTACATTTGTTGAAGTTAATGTTGGGTTTTGGACTACCTTCCTATGTGGAGAATAAACCCAAATTGTATAAGCCCATCATGTTTCACTTAACCAAGTGGAGAGGGGTCAGACTAGGGGAGAGAGTGACTCAATTTGAGAGAAAAAACAGCAACAAAATAAAGCGAGAAGAGAAGAAAGTTACAAGTTGCATATCCACTAGGAAATGTTTGTTGAATTGCAACTGGAGATTCATTCGCCGTTGATTCAGATTGATTTTTGGAAAGCAAGTTTGTATGGTGTGGCATTTCATATTCAATGGTTGGATTGTTGAAAGAAAGTTTGGAGTGGGAGAAAAACATCTCGCAATAGCAACTTTGTTTTGGGGCTTTTCATCTTCTTATTTCTCAATTATAAGCAATTGTGTTCAGTTTTACTTTGACTGATTGTAACACTATTTGGTGCATTCTTTGGAGACTCTTGTACCCTTTGTTGATCATAATGGAGTTTTTCTTTAGTCTAGATGACTCAAGGTTTTTAACCTTACATTGTGGGGTTTTCAACGTTAAAAATATTTGCCTCTCTTATGCGTTTGAGTTATCTATTTATGCTCTATTTTGTTGGTGCTCCTTATAGATTTTGGCAAGTAGGGAGATTTAATTTCTATTGTATTATTTCTCTTTTTCATTGTTGTTATTGTGTTGAGCTTTTCCCATCAGAGCTCTTTGGTTAAGGGGGCTGTTTGACTTGCTTGAATGATGGACGCATATATGAAGATGATCTTTTTGAATGGAGCAAATTATCACCTGTGGAAGGACAAGATGAAAGACTTGCTATTTATGAAGAATTTTCATCTTCCTGTCTTTGCTTCTAATAAGTCAGAATCCAAGTATGATGAAGAATGGGATTTTGCGCATCAACAAGTGTGTGGATTTATCAGGCAACTTGTTGATGATAATGTCTATAATTTTATTGCAATGGAGACACATGCGAGAACTGTATGGGATAAGCTTTGATCCTTGTATGCTTCTAAATCAGGGACTAATATATTGTACTTGTTTAAGAATTTTGTGGAGTTGAAATACAAAGAGGGGGACTCCCATTATAGATCACTTAAGTGAATTTCAAGAGCGCTTTGATCAACTATCTGAAGTGATATAAAATTTGATGAAGATTTATTGAGACTGTTCCTATTAAATTCTCTACCTGATTCATAAGAGAAATTATAGGTTTCCATGATTAGAGCTTCTCCTAATGGTGATATTTTTTTGAAAATGGCAAAGAGTAGTGCACTTATTGAAGAGATGAAAAGGAAGACACAAGGTACTTCATCTCATTTATATGTGCTTGTTACTAAGAACAAGGGGAAAAGTCAGAAGAAAGAACATAAGGGTGTTAGAGACAAAAGTAGGAGCAAGTCCAAGATTCGATATAAAAATGTCGAGTGTCACTTTTGTCACAAAAAAGGACATACACAAGGGAATTGTTTTTTGTTGAAAGAGAATAAAGACAAGAAGGGTAAGTAGAGAGAGAGAGATCATGATGATAGTGATTGTGTTACTATTGCTACTAGTGATGATTTTCTTCTTCTCTGTGATCTTGATGCAATTAATCTTATATATATGATGAGAGCATGTGGATAATAGATAATGGTGCTACACTGCTTGTTACAGCTTACAACCAAGAAGAAGTTCTTCACATCTTATACTCGTAATGATTTTGGAATATTGAAGATGGGTAATGATGACATGTCCAAGGTGATTGGTGTTAGTGATGTTTTCTTGCAAATCAACATGGGGATGCAGTTGTTGCTTAAAGGAGTTAAGCATGCTTCAAATGTCTGTTTTAATTTGATTTTTCCTCTAGTGCTTGATGATGGTGGTTATGATAACCCACTTTGGTTCTGGAAAGCGGAAGCTCACCAAAGGTATCTTGATTGTGGCTAAAGGTGAGAAAAATTCTAAACTTTACTGGAAAAAAGCTTTGGTTGTTAAAGATAGTGTGAATTTTGTGTATATGGAAGCATCTTTGTGGCACCAAAGGCTTGGTCATATAAGTGAGAAAGGAATGAATTGTTTAGCCAAAAAGGATGTGCTTCAAGGATTGAAGAATGCAAAGTTGGATAAATGTTCTCATTGCATGGTTGGTAAATAGACTAAAGTATCATTCAAGAAACATCCACCTTCTAGGAAATTTGAGTTGTTTGAATTGGTGCATTCAGATGTTTGTGGTCCTTTGAAGGTAAAGTCTTTTGACGGTGCATTTTATTTTGTTACTTTTTATTGATGATTGTTTTAGGAAACTATGGGTCTACGCTTTGAATACAAAAGACCAAGTGTTAGAGAAGTTCAAAGAGTTTTATGTCTTGGTTGAGAGGTAATCACGTGGGAAGCTAAAATGCATTCATACTAACAATGGTGGTGAGTATTGTAAACCGTTTGATGTCTACTATAGGCAATATGGTATTGCACAAGAGAATAATCCTCTTAAAACTCCTCAACTGAATGGTTTATTGAAGATGATGACTAAAACATTGATTGAGAGAGTGAAATGTATGTTCTCTAAGGCTAAGTTACCCAAGCATTTTTAGGGTGAAGCATTATACACGGCGGTGCATGTTATCAATCTTAGTCTTGCTCTTTCTTTGAACAGTGACATGCCAAATAAAATTTGGTTTGGAAAAAATGTCAAGTATGATCACTTGGGAGTTTTCAGTTGCAAGCATGGTTGTCAATCTCTAGTGATAACTCGTAAACTCTTATGAGTTTACGAGATTAGGACAACCTACCTGTATAATTCGGAGGTAAACTCGTTTTTGAGTAATCTCGGAGTAATCTCGGTAATCTCGGAGTAATCTCGGTAATCTCGTGAGATCACGTCCAAGTTTAAGAGATCACTTTTTTTTTTCATTTACACAAAACGTGCGTTTTGTGTTAGGATTTAGGAGCTCTCATTTAGTCTCTGAACGCATCTCCTTCTCCGTGTCGCCTCCTCTGTGCTCCTCCTCTCCTCCCCACGCGCCTCCTCTCCCCGCGAGCTTGCTCTCCCCGCGCGCCTCCTCTCCCTCGTGCGCCTCCTCTCGTCCGCCCACCTCTGTTGTTCTTCTCCTCCGCGCGCCTTCATGTTCTTCTCCTCCGCGCGAACCAACTCTTGATGTCTTAGTTTTTTATTTGTCTATTTTTAAGAACTTGTGTTTTGTCATTTGTGTGAACTTTTGTTAAGAACTTGTGTTTAGAACATTTATTATTAATGTAATTTACTATTTTACTCTTTAATATAAAGTTAAAATGTTCAATTATTATGTTATTTTTAATTATTTATTTATTTATTTTTTATTGAGTAATCTCTTACGAGTTTACGAGACGAGTTTACGGAGCCTCCACGAGATTACGTAAACTCTCGAGATTGACAACCTTGGTTGCAAGGCCTTTGTACATGTTCCAAAGGATGGAGATTCAAGTTAGATGCAAAGACAAGACAATGTATCTTCATTGGTTACGGTTAGGATGAATTTGGTTACAGATTCTATGATTCTGTTGAGCAGAAGATTATTAGAAGTCGTGATGTTAAGTTCATGAAAGATTAAACCATTGAAGACATTGATAAAGTGGAGAAGTCTACACCCAAGGGAGATAGTGGCGTAACTAATGCCGATCCAATTTAGTTGCCAATTCATAATGTGGATATTGATGTTCAGAATGGTGAACAACTCGACTATGTTGGTGAGCAACGATTTGGAGATGAGGTAGATGTTCCTATTGATGATGTTGATGAAGAGGAACATGAGATATCATAGGATGAAAGTCTTGGTGATACACCTGAGCCACCACTAACCCAACTCAAGAGATTTACTTGGCAGAGACAACTGTTTATAAGGTACTCTTCTGATGAGTATGTGATCTTGATAGGTGGGGGAGAACCTGAGTGCTTTGGAGAGGTCGTGGAAAGTGAAGACAAGCAAAAGTGGTTGGACGCTATGAAGGATGATATGAAATCCTTGCATGATAATCACACTTTTGATTTGGTGAAATTGTCTAAGGTTAAGAGGGCTTGGGATGACACATGGATCTATAGAGTGAAACATTAGAGTAACTCTATGTCTCTGAGGTATAAAGTCAGATTAGTGGTGAAAGACTTTAGTCAAAGATAAGGTGTTAATTTTAATGAGATCTTCTCACCTGTGGTGAAAATGACATCCATTAAAATTATGTTGAGTTTGGTTACTACTCTTGATTTGGAAGTAGAGCAATGGATGTGAAGACTGTTTTCCTTCATTGTGATTTGGAGGAAGAGATCTACATGAAGCAACATGATGGTTTTCTTGTTAAAGGCAAGGAAGACTGTGTAGGTTGAGAAAAAACTTATACGGTTTGAAGTAAGCTCTGAGGCAGTGGTATGAGAAGTTTGAGTTTTTTATGTGTGAGCAAAGCTACAAGAAGACTACTTCTGACCATTGTGATTTTGTTAAAAAAAAAATTTGATGATGAATTCATAATCCTGTTATTGTATGTTGATGACATGCTTATTGCTGGGAAAGATGTTTCCAAAATTGACAAATTGAAGAAGCAATTGGACAAGTCATTTGCCATGAAGGATATGAGAGTTGCTAAACATGATAGGTTCGATTTGTTGTCGCCATAGAAGGAAATTGTCTTATGTAAGTTTCTCTATAAGTGAATGAGAAAAGGTGAATGGTGTTGATAGAGGAATTGATGCAGTCGAAGAGGAGTGCAACAGGGTTGGCAGTGCAACTGAAGCATCTACCATGAAAGGAAATGCAAGAAAGAAAATCCCTACGTTCTAGGCCCTTGATACCATGTTCAAGAAATAAATAGAGAGATAGAGAATACCATTTGATCTTATTAATGAATATAGCAGGCAATACAAAAGGTACACTCCTTTGTACAAGAACCTTATTTATAGTAGAGGAGTGAGTCCAATAGAGTTTGTTATAAGTGATATGTTGTTAGTTATAACAAGATAAACAAAAGCAAAAACGAAAATACAAAGAAAACAGAGAAATAGTATTCTCTTAAAATAGCAAACAGAAAACAAGTGAATAAAATTTGAGAAATGGTATTCTCTTACATTCATGGTCTAAATTTTTGTGTTAGTTTAAGGGAGGCCTTAAGAACTGAAAGGAAATGTACAAAGTAAAAATTTTCTTCCGAGTATATGATTGTCATAGCCTTGCTCCACTCCTTTCTTGTATTTTGGGAAACCAAAATGGAATTTAATAGAGTTGCTATAAAGGAAAATTATAGTGGAATTTTCTCTCCAAATTAAGCTACATGATAGCTTGCTAAATTTCACCGTCTTTTTTGTATTGTAGTTCACTAAGTACCATTTTCTATTGATTAGAGAGTAGCAACTAACCTTTTAATAATGTCTTCTCAATTTGGTGTCAGCACTTTCTTTTGTTAGTTGGTGGGACCCCTACTTAATGCCGATGTTGTTTTCAGGGTTGGAAAACAGCGATTACGAGAATCTAAGATCCAAGCTATAGATTATTTAATATTATTACTTGCTGGAGCCTGCTTAGGATCACTTACTAAAGCAAGTGATCATAACTTTGGTGCAGCTGGATACACCTATACGGTGATTGCTGTATGTAAGTTAATTGACTTCTAATACTAGTCTAGAATGCTTTTCTCATTATATCATTTTTCTTTTCTATTGTATGTTATGAATTTATGTTGGAATTTAGTTTGTGATAATGCGCAAATTTTATTGTTTTCTCTATAATAATATCCCAATAATTTTGAGGGTGAGCCTTGGGGGAGATAAACTTTTTATTTGGCAAAACTTAGTTGAGATTATTATACTTCTTCTAATCAATTCAATAGTAAGTTTTATAAAGGAGAATAATGTTCATAAAATTACTACAACTTTCATGACAAGGGTCTTTCAAAAATGGATTAAGGTGGTTGGAAGTATTTTTCTAGATGATATAATCAATGTTAAGCTTAGAGATGTTAAATTAGATGATGCTCGTCTACTTGAAGGAGATCTAACAAAGAAGTGTGAATGATAATTTAGTTGAAAGCTTAAAGTGATGAAGAAAAATTTCAAGGAGTGTTGGCAGTTGAGATTTTTTATTGTAATAATTAAATATTTTAAAGTCTCTTGAGTTTTCTAGTTTGCTTGTAAGTTTGGTTTAAGACTGCTTATGTCAGTAAAAGGAAACTGTAGCTGCATGAAAATAATGTTTGCTTGTTAGCTTAGTCATAATTTGCTTTTAGTTTGACCTACTTAGGAGTTAGTTAGTTTTAGTATTTAAGTGCTTTCAATAATTATAAGGTGAGGTGAGGGTTGTCCCCCGTTTATATACTCTTTAATTATTTTATTTCTAGTTGATGTGTGACTTGAGCTTTTTCCAATACAACCTATTATATTTTTTTAGTCATACACCTCTCTTTATGTTTTGTTTACAACAGAAGCTAATAGAACTGCAAGACTTTTAGTAGAAACAATACCAAGCTTGAAAAGCCTTTAGGATGAACTTAAGAGAAATTATACACAAGTTCTGAAAATTGCTTTGGTGAGTAATCAACAATAATAGTGTTACATAAAATTATCATGACTACAATCTTTCCAATAATCCATTAACTCATGATTCCCGATGTCATTTTGATTGATGTCACTATTTCCATCACAAATAGTTAATAAAATTTATAATCAAATTACATAGATTTCAAACTACTCATAATAACTCAACTTCATTGGAATTAGACATAAGACAAAAAAAGAGTATATAAGTGATGTCAAGAATCTTTTGCTCGTTGCTTGCTCTCATTACATTCTGTTCTATAAGATTACTAGCTGATTATTTGGAAATTAAGGTTGATAAGGTTGATTCCTAAATTTATACAATTATATGGAAAGAATAATAATTGTTAATATTGTTTATAATATTCAAATCATATAATAGAAAACAAAATAATGACAGATTCATTGTTTAACATCCCTCTCACATTGATGTGGTTGATCAAGAAGCACCAATTTGCTAAGTAGAAATTGATGGTGAGGTTGAGGAACAACTTTGGTAAAAATATCCGCGAGTTGAAGTTGTGAAGTTACATAAGGAAGAGTGATAACATAAGCATCAAGAGCTTCATGAATGTAGTGTCAGTCCACCTCAATATGTTTGGTGCGTTCATGAAACACCGAATTTGCAGCAATTTAAATGGTACTAGAGTTGTCAGCACAGAGGGGTGTTGCAGTGGTTTGAGGAATTCTAAGTTCTTCCAACAAACCATGAAGCCAAATAATCTTAGAACATGTCATAGACATAACTCGATATTCCAAACCCAGTAAATGACTTTTAAACTTGGAATTGCTTTCTACTCTTCCATGAAATTAGAGTAGAACCAAGGAACATACACCAACTTTTATCTCTATTTATATGATGATTGATAACTTAGATATAAGTTGAAATTGATTTGTAAAGAAATGGTATGAAAAATCAAGATATTAAATTTTCACTTAAAATAATTTATTATTTCAAGTAATAATCAACTATTTGCTCTATTTTTTAGTTACCTAAAGAGTAGTCGTTGTAATAATCAATTATTCAACAAAATAATCAATTATTTTAGAAATAAGGTTATGGAATAATTGATTATTGTTCAAAATAATCGATTAAATTGTTCATGGTTGATTTTCAGAATTGCTAAGAACAAAATAATCGATTATCTATGTAAATAATCGATTATTTCAACAAGAAAACTTATATATGTATCATTTTTCATACCTTAAACAAAGACCTTCTGAATCTTTGTGATATCTTTCACGAAAACAGTCTCTAAAATACATTTCTCTCTACAAGAAAAGGTTCTTTAACCTTTGTGGTAACCTCAAGAAAGTTTTCAAGAATTGAGTTGATCATCATCTCAATGGAGTGAAAGGTTAAGCTACATGGTTATTCACCTTCTCTGATTTGTTCTATACATCAAGTGAATTTGTTCCTTAAATTTCTATATTAGTTGTCTTCTAAAGTATGTTTCTTATGAAGAGAGAATCTTGTAGATAGATACTACAAGTAGGTGCTTCTTGGAGTTCAAGAAGTGGTTTCTTTGATAGTATAGAAGTGTATTACACGTGATATTGTAAAACTTTTGATATTAAAGATTAGTAAAAAATCTCAATCGAGTTGATTGGGGACTGGATGTAGGTCACAAATGATGTAGCTGAACCAATGTAAATTGATCAAGCATTTTTCTCTATTTTCATTCTTGCATTTCTATTTTCATGTTTCTTGTTATGTGTTGCGAAACATGTACATTACATTAAGAATTGGGTGAATTTAGACTCGCATTGAATCTAAACTAAGTATTCTATATACAAGCTATAGATTAACACACTTCTTTGAAAAAAGAAACTATTACACTACTATTAATTTTATATTTATTCTCGTAATCATCAGCCAAAAAGAGATAGAGTACATTACATTCTTCACCACTGGCAATTGTCTACCTTCCTCACTTCCAAAGCCTATAATACGCTCAAATTTGGTAGAATCTTGGTAACATAGTTGAAATCTTTTATCAAGTTACTTATGACAACAAAATACTCTAGTCTAGTAACACAAAATACTCTAGTCTAGTAACATTCAGGAGTGAGTCTAAAGATATCCTTTGAGATAACAATTGAACCTTTACCACTAACCTTTGAAAATGTGTCATCAATGTGCTACAATTATTATACCAATGTTTTTTTTCCAGTTTCTTGCATAGTTTGTTGAAGTAGTTTTTGTGGAATTTCCATCTAATTTCTTCTAGAATGAGTTGCATCGGATTTGTCCTTATTATGTCTACCTCCTGAACATATGTTGAGGCTATGTTGCCATGGTACTCTTTATTACAAGATAATTTTGCATGAGTTTGTTTTCCATGAATTTTTTAAATTGTCCTTTATGTGTGGCCTGGCCTGGCTTACATGTAAGTTTAATGATTTTTTAATAAATTAATTATAGAAAATTAAAGGATCTTTGAAATTTATGATACTTACATAAAAATAAGAAAAAATGTGTACCTTTCTCTATAATGAAAATCTTCTTTGATCCTTAGAATACTTTGATCTTCTTGAGAAGAGAATCAAGATTTCACTCCCTTTGACTTTTCTTTCTACTGTCTATCTTCCATGATGGCTAGGATTTGAGAGAATACTTTCTGTCAGGAGTGTGGACCTTGTTTCACATTAGTGGATATTTATAACCCCTAAAAATTGTTATTCTCATCAAATAACAATTATTCTCAAAACTGCTCCATTAAACCCATTTATTATTTAGTCCTTAATTATTTAATTAATTATTTATTAATCCTTTTATATATTACATATTTCTCACATGAGACATAATTATCTTACATTGCAGTGTTCGCACCATGAACTAGTCTTTTTCCTATTGAGTCAGACTCATTTGGTTGATGTCCTCTTGCTACCATTGCTCCACTTTAGATATATATATGCAACATGAGTTTTCTCCTACTTTCCTAACTTTCGAAAACACGAAACTTTGAAAGTGGCTAGGTTCAAAGATTCTTCTGCATACTTCATCAAGATCCTTATTCAGTCCAACTATAAATTTGTGAATCTTGACTTCCTCTACTAGAGCTATGTATTGTTTCTTGTCTTCAAGTCACTTCCATTCAATTTCTTCATAATCTGAATGTCTCTTATGTTGCATCCCATATTTCTTTAGCAATACTATAATCCATAATTTTTTTCTCTAATTTCATCGGTCATGCTGTTAAGCAACCATGGCATCACCAAGTTGTTCTTGAGCTTCCATTTTGGGATTGGGGTTTGGCTTCTCCAATGAGGTAATTACTCTCCCTTCCCTTGAAGAATAATTCAAACTGATCTTGTTCATTGGTTGAAATTTTGAATACTCAATGTGGCTGTAATAGGAAGGTTAGGTCCTTCAATTAAACAAGACACGGACAGACCCTCTGGTTTGTCACTCTTAATGCGAGCTGATGATAGTGTCTAGAATCAACAATGGTTTATCAAACTCTTAATACCCCGAAGAAAGAATTATATTTTGGTATGAATGATTCATTACAAGGGAGATAAATAGGAATATAGATCAATAGTTCTACACTAACAGAAGGCATTCTTCTCTTAAAGATAGCAAACTAAAATAGGAAACTGTATACAAGACATCTTAAGATAATAAAAATTAATGCTCTTCTAGCTATACGAAATGGAATTTTAATGCTAGAAATCTGAAATAATTATCCTAAAATTAAGACTTAATCACCAACATATTGAAAATTGAACTCCAGAAGCTTTCGAGTGTCTGCAAAACTTTACACTGATATCATTAGAAGTTTGGAACCATTTAAAGATACTGTGCATAGCTCATTAATCAAATGCCAACCATACCTGAGGAAAAGGGTTTTGTATTTGCTTAGTTTGCAAGTTATAGATTCAAAACTCCATGCTGCTATTGTATATAAAAAGTACCATCCCTTGTGGCTTTGAATAATAATAATAACATAAATACAACAAGAAAAGCTAAAATCTGTCGACTATCAAAGAGTTCACGTGATAAGAATGCTTATTGATAAGTGTCATGGGTACATGGTCAAACAAATACAATGGAAAGGA